AGACAAAGACAGAACACCAACCCCAAGAACGATCTTGTTCAAGTACGCAGGAGTCGGCATAACATTCATTTCTCCTAAAGTATAATCGCACCCTGTCATCAGCTCGATGAATGGAAAACCTCAACTCGCCAGAGAAATGAACGCTATTCAATTGTTGTGAAAGCAAGCGTTGGTGTGTATGTGCCCAATTAACATTACATGTATTTACGCGGAGACGTCGCTTCAAAAAACCAACATAGGGTCGATATCCATGTAGCCCACCCTCGCGCAAGGGATTGCGCACAGTTTGGGCAGATAAACGGTTGATATGTGTACCAGGGGTGTTAGCAGCAGTAACTGTGGCAGTTTGGAAGCGATTACACATCTGGTGGGTGTTATGAATATAGCGTGATTTGCACGCGTCGTGACGCGCGGACGTCCACTACGTGGTCGATCTTCTGTAAGTCATGTTGCTTGAAAACGTTACCTATGGTGTCGAATAGCACAAGTAGAACATCCAATATTTATAGCGACGGCATTCATCGTCATACCAGCATTAAGCATGCAAATGGCACGTTCGCGTTAATTTTGCTGAATTCTAGGCATGTCAAAAGTGCAAAAGTGAAGAAAAATGAAGAAAAATTCCAACGTTCTTATTGACATAAAATTCAATAAAATTACACTGAAAGGTTTTATAAAATATAGACAAATTTACTGGTCCGTGCATGTGCATGCAACTGAAAATCGCAGTCAGCTGGTTTCTACTGCAAAACGAGTTAAAATCGAGTTGAAATTTTTTTTATCGGATACTTGACATTTTGATTTTTATAATAACACTATATATCAACTTAAACACAAGGAAGTTTCTATTTTGTTCAATATATTTGGCCAACGTCATAAATTAATATTCTGAAGTGGTCCGAAGTGTTTTGCGTGATGTGATTCTCTTTCGACTTTTACAATACACTGCCTGGAATACTGAAGAAGACAGAAAGCAGTCAACTAGCGAGAAAAACGCAATCCAGTCTTAATTGGAAGTTGACTGATGGATTGAAACATGTACGCTAAAATCTTGTAAGACCTATATATGTCCATTGTTAGAAATGTTACATTAGCACTGAATAATCTCTTGCAACTACTTTACGATTCTTTACGTCACATTACGTCACTGGATTTCTGTTTGCACTTTATCCACCTGACGATTCGTAGCTTATAAATTTAATTCCCCAATGCTGTCATTCAAGCTGGTGAAATATAATAGAAGATTTACCAGAAAATTGAGAATCGTTTAATGTACGAGTAAACTACAAGTATCATTTGAAATATTTCAGTCGTATGAGTATTGCAAAATCAGATATGGAGCATGGTTGTTTACCTCTTGTTGTCAGTTTGCTTGTAAGAGATTAGAAAATACGGAATTCCTAAACAGAACTTAAAATGAAAAAAATGTAATTGTTGTAGACCCGGTATAATTGAGTCTGTTCATGGACGGTAGTTGTAATTGCAAGCTATCTTCCACGTCCCCTTGCACTGACTTGTAAACGCAGAATTCGAATTCAACATTTTAACAGAAAGAATGGTGAAATTAGAAATTAAAGTTTACGTTAACAAATTTCTTGTAGTTGTTTTATCATTAATGATGCAAATGATGGCGTGCTTTGTAAGAAACAAAGAAACAAGTAAACGCCACCAGTGACAAAATGCTCCCCTAAAAATTCTACTTCGTTCCCTCTTTCATTGAGATGTATCTCCCAATTTCTGATCAAAAACTTTTATCATTATCATTAAGCATAAATAATGTTAATCGATGCTCAATATACTTATAACTATATATTCACATGTGCATGTTTAATGTCATTTAAATACGACTGAAAATATATATGAACAGAATTTATTTGAGGCTTGTACATGACCTACCTGACCTAATCCTGTTATCCCCTAGTGGGGCAAAGGGCATCCACAACAGCTCTCCATCTGGGTCGGTTCATTGCTGCTCTTTTTGCTTCTGCCCAGGTGATATTGCAGCTTTTCAACTCAGCTTCTATTGTTCGTCTCCAGGTGGTTGTTGGTCTGCCTCTTCTTCTTTTACCTTGAGGATTCCAATCCAATGCTTGCCTTGTGATGTTGTGTTGGGGTCGCCTCAGAATGTGTCCTATCCAATGCCATTTACGTTTCTTGATGGTGCTTGAAATAGATGACTGGCCTGTTCTATTCCACAGATCTGAATTACTGATCTTGTTTGGCCATCTGATTTGTAGAATCTGTCGGAGGCATTTGTTGATGAATACCTGCAAGTCGTGTTCGTTTTTCTTACTTTGTTTCCAGGTTTCTGATCCATACAAAAGAACTTATATGACATTGGTCTCAAAGACTCTAAGTTTGTTTTTTTGGCTGATGGTCTTGTTTTTCCATAACGGTCTGAGGGTCACAAAGGCATGTCTGGCTTTACCAAGTCTCGATTTGATGTCATCGTCAGCTCCCCCATTCTCAGATAAGTAAACTGATTGACGTCTTCGATGGATTTACCGTCTAGTGTGATGACAGAGTTGTTCCGGGTGTTTATTCTTAAAGACTTGGTTTTAGCAGTGTTGATGTCCAGGCCTGTTGATTTTGCTGTTGTGTAAAGAGCCGATGTTTTCTGTTGGATCTGCTGGAATTTGTGGGATAGTAGGCTCACATCATCTGCAAAGTCTAGATCTTCAAGCTTGGCAGTGAGTGACCATTGGATGCCTCTTGGTGGTGTCATGGAGGTTCTCATAATCCAGTCGATGACAACCGAGAAGATAAGAGGTGACAGTAGACAACCCTGGCGTACTCCTGTATGTACATTGAAGGATGGTGAAAGTGTGAAGTTGTGAATGACCTGGCATTTGTTGTTGTTGTATAACCCTTGTATGATCTTCACAAGTTTGTCTGGTATGCCGTAATGTCGTAGCACCTTCCACAAAGTGACTCTATCAACCATGTCGAACGCCTTTTTAAAGGCTTGTGAGGCTTGTACATAATACATAGTAATGCATATAGATACACAAAACAGTGTTTACATGTCATCTGGAAATGGATATACACAAACAATTAAGATAATGAATCAGATAAAATGAAATATAAATGGAATTGATAGATATCATTATGTATAATCGATAATTTGCTTTTATTTTCAAAAAATTTTGAAATCCATCACAAGTTGAAATTATAACAAAAAGTACAAATCATATATGTAAACATCAAAGCAAAATCAGTACAGCGTTTGATATATACATTTAACACATTTATTATTGACAGATATGCAAACTTTATGAAAAGCTTGATAACAGCAACATAATCATACCCACACAGCTTACAGTAGATATTATGTAATTCAAGTGCTTGATACCTTAAGGTCAGTAATCCAAAAGTAACGCAGTCATTAAGGTAAAAAATTATTATGCTGATTTCGTCCCACATACAGATACAAGCACAAAATGTATTCATATACAACAACTTCTTATTTTCTTTAGACAAACAAGCCTGTTTCCTTGTTTGTTTTAAATGATTCGGACATTTTACTGTTAAGGGTAGGGCAATCTCGGCTACCAAAACCGGTTTATAACTGGCTAAAATGCAAATCCTTTTAAATGACTACATGCAGTTATTTAAAACAATAGTTAAATTACATATTTCATTCATATTGGTACACTTTTTCATCTATGAAATTAAACTCCCTTGTACCAGTTAGGATCCGAATCTCGGCATGGACTTAAGTTGCTCATTTGACAACAGGTATCCGCATTGCCTATGATCGTTTGGTGGTTCTCAGGCTCGTACGCATTGGCACTGATCTCTTACTCCACCAGTAATAAGTGCTACATCTAGAAATTGATATATTTGTCAAGTGACAAGCATACAACTCTTTATAAAGTTTCGATTTGGTGAATTTCAATATAAACCGTTTAATAACTGTTAAGAAAATATTAAACATCTGCCATAATTTGTTAGTTCCAGTATATAGCAAGCTCAAAAATAGCGTCGTGATGATATATAACAAATAACTAAAATGATTCGTGAAGTCGGCTTATTTTCATAACTTTTTTTTTTACAATAAAATGTAGGCAAAACAACTTTCAGATTCCGATACCTTTATTACAATGACTAAAACATGACTTTCTTCATTAAAACACACTATTATACTTTCGAATTGAAGTATTTTTGGGAAAAGCCTTAACTTTCATGGTGAATGTTTCCTGGACAGTGCAGTAATTGTATCAATTTCAAAGGCAATTATAAAAGCTACTACCACTGATGCATGCAATATTAAAGAAGTTGATTAGTCAATGAAACGGTATCAAAGTAATATTCGTATGATAGACTGTACCCTATGAGTAAATTTTGAAAGTTTATATTATATAATGTGCTATGCATGTTCAATATATGTCTTAAGTGTATGCTTATCATAAATCAGATATAATATAAGATGCTGTAGAAAATGTTATATATACCAACAGTTTTTACAAACAATTACAACACTTCTGTTTGAAAAAATAAGAATATAGCAGTGACTGATATATATGTTATTTTCGTTAAAATAATAATAATAAAATCAAGACAAATGAGAAACAAAACTTGCATTTTGCCCATTAGAATTTGGATGTATAGTGTGATGATACAAATGACTATCTTAAAACCAGTTTCCAACCTGCACTGATGAAATAAAAAATGAAAAAGTAAATAATACACTAATAGATACATGAATACAAACTAAAATATGAATTCAACATTTCATATATCAAAACTAGCTAAAGCAAATTAATGACAATTTTTGAAAAAAATATAACAAAACATAAACCAGTTTCAGATGATCTAATTTTTTGAAAATGTTAATAATATTCGGTACAAAACACAAGAAAATATACGAAGAACAAGAATCTAAATCAACATATAGCCCTGGGTAAAATGTATCTTCAATTTGAAAAAAGATAATTGAAAAAATATGATAAACAAGATCAACAAGGAAAGGCGGCGTTCAATGTACGTAACCCGGACCCCAAACAAAACCAGGACAGGGCACATGGCAGAGCATGGGCAGGCTAATCACTTAAATGATACATAAGAGTCGCATCCAGTCATATTCTCTCTTTTACGAAAAATACAAGATAGTTATTGGATAACATAACATAACATAAGGATAACTATAACTCTTCTTCTATGTCGATGATGTCACAATATAATGATATACATTTCCTTTTATTTCTTGGAATTGGATTGAATGAGTGTCTTCCTTCCCTTCACCGATTTTTGTGATAACGCATCTGTACTTTAAATTATTCAAAATAATACATATCTTGACTTTTCAAACACATTTTTCAATTTCTTATAAACTGAACACTTCAGCATGTCTCTTTCTGTATACTATAAACGAGTCCGAGTATTAATTTTAACAAAATATGGAAACATCAAGACTCCGTTACATTCACTTACGTTTAACAAGTCTATCACATGTTATCAATTCCATTGTTTGAACTGTTAGTTAAATGCCAACGGCCGTGATAGTATTGTATTTAAAATGCAATTCTCTATTTTTCAGCACAGTATCAGAAAATACATGTATTTTATCACTGCGATTCAAATTTTATTATCAGTAGAAATCGACCTGATTCTACATACAGACGTAAGTTACTTATTCACCTTCATGTCTTTAAAAGTCTGTTAAGAATTTTCTTTATACACAAGATTTTACAATCTTATACATGGAACTAAATATTTGTAATAGCATGCCGTCGACTCCATGTCCATGAGGACGACCTATCTATTAGTATATGGTATAGTACTTTGATTTGAAACCGGATTCCGCGTCCATGATAATGTCTTTTTCTTCTGACCAATAAAAATGAATAAATGGAAGAATGAATGCATAACCTTACAAGCATAATCATTGACTTTAGTGATTACTATTATTGTATTTCAGTGTAGCATTATACAAACAGTACATCTGGAGAATTCGACAGTTAATATCTATTATAATCAGAACAGAACATATATTTTTCATTAGATTTGTACCACAGGTATATCATCGTAACATATTTACAAACTTGATACATTTAAATTTAATAAATTTCAGTCACATGATAAACCATCGTTTATAAGTATCGAATCGCAATACCACATACATTAACGCATTTACATTTAATACAATTACATGACATTTTATACATCCAATATTCATTATTTTCTATTCTAAGAAGATGGAATGAAATATGTTTAGCATATGCTCTATAATGTCATATTAAGTTTAATTGCTACATTTGTGGGATTTGTTCCTTTATCACTTTTAAAACATGATTGGTTTAACAAAATAATACTTTTTATGTACAATTTCCTTTAATCAATATAACATGGGCAAATAAAAATAAAAATGACATTCGTCTTCACTGTCGTGCTTATCACAGTATATAAAATAACGTTGATTTCTCTCTCAATTCTCTGGGTACCGTATCGACCTGTTTGAATTTTCAAAAGATATGAAGATAACCTTAATTGTGTTAAATAACATCTGAAAGAAGGTAAAATATTCTAGTACACAAAATGTACTTTGCATACTCAAAATCAATTTTAACATGATTATATACTTCTTATAGACTGTTTTCCTTTTTTTAACATGCAGCCCTTGAACAAACCTATCGATGACCCATTGTTTTAAACATAATATAAAAGTCTTTTAAGTTTTCACAAACGGTATCAGGCGAATACCACATATGCAAAGACATGATCAGATAAAAATCACATTTGACAACCATCTTCCCATTAAACAATCATAACAGTAAAACATTAAAGTCTATGTTGGTGTCCCTCCATTAAATGCTGAACCGTTTACCTACTGTTACTTTAATTTACTTACAAATAATTGAATTGACAATTTTGCATCATTAACAAGTTCCTTTAAGAAACGTGGTCCTAACAGGTAGAATTTAAACTCTTATTTATTTTAATGATCATCTGCTAGCAATGTTAAGTTTAACTTGAAACACCATCTTATCCAATTGGCTCATACCAACTTAAATAATGTAACAAAATTCAAATAGATTGTTAAACTTTCTTTAAGTTAAAAGCCCTGAGTACCTTTTATTTTCTTTACAATATTTCGCATTAAACAAGTTTTTGATAATAACACGAAATGTTATAAATACATCATCACAGCCTTAACATATCTGCATTTCTTACAAAAAGATTAAAACTATTCACTTGCTTATTGCTCCTTTAATATTAAAGGTCAGCAGATTTATAATTAGAAAGCAAAATCTAGCCACCATTACATTTGGATAGCTTTTTCAATGTCTTAGTTTGTCATAATTTTTTCATAATTCAAAAATAAGAAATTCATTATCAGCACTCCAAGATTTTCTTGTTTGTCCAACGTAAAGCCTATCTGACCCGTTGCTGACAAGAAGTGATTGTGGTTCAAATCCGTCATCTCTTGTCAGAAGTTCATTCCATTCCCCTTCTCTTGAAACCCCACGCAAGCATTTGAATCCACATACATAGATTGTCTGACTTTGATCAGACGCTATACCATATGGTCCACACATACTGTCATCTATATATGGAAAATATCTTAAAACTTTGCCAGACATATCACACGACTGTATGCAGTGCTTTGTGTGAGAAACAAAAATGATTTGATCATCATTTGTAAGGTTTATTCTGTCAATGTTGTAATCGAAAGAAGCAATGGTTCTCACCAAATGACCGTTTAGCGACCAACACTGAATGCTAGCATTGATAAAATCTGTGACAACTATCATCACATTTTCAGACTTATGGTATCTGATTCCAGCAGGACTCTTTACTTTTATACATGAACGCTTACTTTCAGAAATATTTTTACCGATAGTCAACAATGATATCCTGTTTTCTTGTGGAAAAGTAATTGCTATTTCACCATTTTGACTAATATAGCTAATAAATGTGATTCCCCAAGGCCTCCATTGAAGCTGGTGATATATCGGTGAATATTCATCGGAAATGATAATCAGTCTTTGGTTTACACAATCTACAAGTATCACTGGAAATGTTTCATTTGATGGTGTTGCTATATCAGTTATGGCACACGACTGCTTTCCCCCTGCTATATTTATCTTTTTTTGAAGCTTAAGTTTACGTCTACCAATTTCCCTTTGATGTTTCTCGGCAACCAAGTTTCCCGAATCAAGCATTTGGTACTGTGATTTATAAGAAACACGTAAACGCGGCAGACCGAAAACTCCCTTGAGATCTCTGTTTATGTTGTCTACTTCGCACTCTCCTTCGGTCATTGATATGTATCTCTCAATTTCTGATACATTGGTATCCCTTATTAAGTCTTTTTTCTGAAACCGTAAAAATATTATATAAGTTCTCAAAATCATAATAAAAAATAGACAAATTTATTACATACTTAATTAGGAAATATTGATGAAATAAAATGCATATTTTAATTTCCATATTTTTACCTTAAAATTTTATTTTTTCAACACAGTCCACTGCACATATTTTCCGTATTTTTACGGATATCTTGCCGGACTACTTTCATCTAAATTCAGCCAAAACAAAAAAATTAGGAAAGTCTTTCAAATCATAATGTCAAAAAATGTATATAATATACAGAAAATTCAAGATTTTTCTATACATACATGATTTATTTTCATAATGTGGTATGAAAATTATCATATTTTACCATTGACTACCGCCACATATGAAATTGTTTTACATACCACTCAATGAAAATAAATCCTTTATTAATAGAAAAAAAAGTTTGCTATCTGTCAAAAATATGTCCATACAAAAGTCAGTAAATATGAAACCAATTCACGGAAGGTTTAAAGAATTAATTGCCTGTTTGGATGAAGTGCGACAAATGTATACACAGTCAGCATTATATTAATGCAATGTTTGAATGCATAACAATCACTGATTTCGTAGCAAAACTACCCAAGTCATATTTAAGTAATATCGGGACCGTATCACGCTCATATGGAGATTGTTTGTCATGTAACATCTAGGCAACAATAAATGAAAGATCCTCTATATGATTACATATTTATCAAACCTTTTTAAGTTTCTGACATATATCGAGCATCTCCGTCTGCCTATTCTCGCTTTCCTCTCGAAATCTATAAACCTCATTGTTTAAGCTCTTTTCTGTCTCGTCAAAATAGTTGTTAACTTGCTCTCTATCTAAACGAATTTGTGACAAAACCTCCTCATACGATACGTCAGCTCCTTCGTTGGCATTTGTTTCTTGCTTTATTATATACGCTGCTTTATCTTCTACATATTTGATTTTTGAAACAATGCGTTTACTTTCAGAATCATAAATGTCATGAATGTTATCCAGCTCGTCACATTGTCTATGTTCTTTTAAAGCACATTCGCTACATACAATTATTTTATGAGTTTTGCAATGATATTTTAGATCTTCTGAAGGGTGAACAGAACATTTTGTATTGCATACCGTCCTTCTCTTAGGAACTGGTGGGGGTGCTTTCTTTGTCTTGCATTTATCATTATTTTCACCTTGCTGCAGAACCTGGTCATCTGAAACCTTATGTTTATCTGAGTCTGGAGGCGTAGGGGCTCTGTCTTTTGACATAATGGTCTTGTATTCAACAAGAACGTGGTCTTTAAAAGGTTTTGGTCGACGATGATATTTGTAGCAAGCATCACACAAGTATTCTCCACATGTTTTGCAATATCCGTAAGCTTCATGAAGAACATTTTCGTCTTGGCAGGGTTGGCATTTTTGCTTGACCTTATCTTCACTGCTCTCCTTACGTCCTGCCACCTCCATATCAAATGTTTTAACCTTAAAAAGTTTAAAACATTATGTAATTACAATTGTAATTTAAAGTTTGTTGCAGTTTGTTTTATTTTGAGCTTGAATATTGTTTAATTTTGATCTTGTATTTAAACTCTCAAAACATGTGCGTTCGTATCTAATTATGTTTTTGTTTCGACCATCATTCTTTTCACTTTCAAGGATTATTTAGACAATCATGACATGTGTCACATCAACTGTATGATAAACATGATGTAAATAATGCAAGCGTTATATATTTTGTTTATGACAAATATTCATTCCGGTAAAGCAAATTCGTCTGATAGGTTATACTCCTTAATGCCGAATAATAAGAAGTTTCTTCCCATGACGTTGAAAAATGATGGTAAAATCAACACATGGAGATTGTCGGTATATCAAGACAGCTTATAATTAAAAGTTTTTCCGTATATAAAAATAAAATTAGGACACAGCTTGAAACTTTAGTCCATCGGCCATGAATATTTTTTTCTTGTTTATACCAACATGCTTAATATAAATTAATGATAACTTAAGACTTTGGAGTTTGTAAGAGATATTGTCAATAGAACAAGAATAGTCTTGAACTTGAATTAAATAAAATAAATAGATAAATCATCCCTTTTAGCAATTATTGCAAAAAAATCTTAACATCGTTTCAGTTTAAGTAAAACAAGAGCTTTTTTTTCTAAAAGCAAACATATAAACAGTTTAAAAAATCTTTAAAAAGACAAATTAAAGAAAAAAATATGGTTTCATTTTTCGTTATTTTAATTGCTCACACTTGTTGTTTTTCCATGTTTGAATCATTCCCATAAATAAATGACAAAGTTTAGAAAATATCAACAAAATTCAATCATGTGACATTGACAGTCAATGTCAAGGTCTTATCTAAATTATTCAGCCTATTCTTTTGGTCAGAAGTGTTGTTTTGTTTTATATGATAATGAATAAATCTATACAAAATAATGACAAGTTAAACAAAATAAAATAAAGCCTCGTTACCGCCCGACGGGCGGGTCATTTCGGGACGGATATTCCGATCCGAACCGCAAAATATGACAGATATTATAAATCCATGTTCAAATAGAATAAGGAGTTGTTGAAACCGACTTATTGAGTTTGCTTTTGGAGTTATCTTCAAATTAACAGACGAGACGATGTACAAGGGGGTTAATTGATTTCAACACCTTGTTTGGTAGGATAAGATAAGATGTATTTTTATAAGCTTGACAGGGGTATTTAAGTCGAAATTATTGTATGTTTCTTTGATAGGTAAATACTGTATTTTATTACATATTGTTTTGTAAGTAACGTCTATTATATCCACATATCAAAAGTGAGTTTTCTGATTAAAACCAACGATGCGTGACTAAAATACCAAAAAGAGAATTTCAATCACGTTCAGCACAAAAAAACGATGTTTGTTTCACAATTGGAAATATATTTAATCTGTATTGAGTACTTGATTAGAAAAACATAATATCTGGCGAGAATGTGAGGCGATTTAATGTTTGCTATCTGAATCAAATTATGCCCTATACATTGCAATGACTTTTTACTACATTCTCACTGTAAACATTACGTTAGTTTTATAGCCACTCCGTTTTTTATTTCAATCAATCTGTCTTCTCAATTACGACATTGTTTCAAATCATATTGCTGTTAAAGATTAGAAATCTGTACACTAGCTATAAGACATATAAAACATTTTCAATTCACAATATAAGATAACACCTGCTATTACCACATGTAAACTGGCCTTTTTGATAGTTTGACTTTTATCTAATTGCACTGTGTAGGAAGTCTTGCACGAATAATTGGCATGACATGGAGCCACAAGTATATAGAACAGGACTAAAAATCAAATAGCTTTATGTTTGAAGGTTTATTTTGAAGTCGGTATAAAGTTGCTATTGCCCGTATAAAAAACATACAAATAAGTTTCCGTGTCCGTGTTTACCGGTAGGTTCGAAAATTTTTTGATTAACAGATCACTGTTTCTAAAATATTATCAGGTGTTACCTTTCATTGATAAAGTTATAAAGTTGTCATACTATCTGCAAATTGAAATGATCAGTAAGAATATTTCTCAATTTTCAATTTTTATCTATTTTCGTTGTTACTTTTCTTAATGCTTTCTTTGACATAAAGGTGACCAGTTAGAAATTATTTAAAGTGTTCAGTCAAAAGTAAAATGGAGGTAACAAAAGGAAAGAATCCATTTAGATATCCTTTTCCCATAAAAGATTGTACCGTATATATAAATTATTATTTTGAAATTTTTAAAGCATAATACAAGTATTTTTTAAAATTTGACTTGAACATTACAACTTTTTTAAAACGGTATTACCTTATCAAAGACGCATTTGTCAGCCTTGAAAAGAATTTGTTTCTGAAATATCCACAAACAATCCGGGTCGTCCGGCAGTAGAATCACAAAATGAAATCATTCAGATAATGCGCAGCAATTATTGGCGCTTGTAATAATATCCGTGTTGTAAGAGCTCGAGGGCCGAGTAATTAAACTATATGTATTGTTTTCTTTCCAATAAATTGAATACTAAGAACAAGTATTTTTGCATACGTCATAGAAATACATTTTTTGAAATAATTTACATTTCATTGTCGTTAAGATATTGTGGTTAAATACTGTTGAACCTTAGTTTGTTAAATCCATTTATCGGGAAGTATATCTAAATCGAGACTGTCATTTACAGGAAGCAAATTTCAAGGGTCACTAAACTAAACTTCATTTTATTATTACCCGTGAACATACATGTATATCCATCCTCTTAACACAATTGTGGCTTTGTAAGTCTTACTTTACCCTTTCACTTTCAAAATACTTATACAGTATATACATGTTAAATAATAAAAATCATTAGCATATTTTTGTTTTCATGAATACCCTCCGATTTTCAAGTATCGTTGGTTTTCTCAGAAAAATACTTCATCAGATCTTCAAATACAAAGTGAAATCTCTCAGACCTTTAATTACTCTCTTGCTTTAAAGCGTTTCTCTTACTACGACGAATGAGTACAATAAAACAAGATACTTCAGCTTTTCTTAGTGTGGTAAATGATACTTCCGAAAATGCAGCTATTTTTTTAAGTTCAGCAAATAATGTTTCTGATCTAAAATAGAAATATATACACTGTCTTCGGCAGTTTAAAAAAATGAACTCACATTAACTAATTGTCCTAAAAATATTGATTACCATAATTATATATTACAGCTCGTGACTGTTACGCAAGATTATGTCTTAATGATCAACATTATTCTTCGTCCAATCACATTGTAGTATTTTTCAAATTTCTGCTAAGTCTAACTTTGGTTAATGTGTACTAACTAAATAAAATTTACTTAATCTGTCGTCTAACCAGTCTAACAAATTTCAATAATGCATTATATTAGGGAGGAGTTAGAAGTGTGGTTTGCACTCTGAATTATAAAATATATAGGTTAGCAAAACAATGCCAACGTAAAAAATATATTAGGCTTTCTAAATGTGAGGATACAATCAATTGATTTATTACATAGATAATACATGTGGGGCACGCAAACACAAATGATTACATAGTAACTTTTTTTTATATCCTTTTAACTCTAAAAAAATGTATGTTATAAATTGCTGACTGTTTTACCTTTATATTTTCTAGAAAAAGTAACCAAAAAATATTTTCTTTCGCTTGATAGGAATGAACTGCATTAAGGATGCAATGGTTACATTTTTTGGCTGGAAAACTCATTGAAAATGGACCCCTCCACCTGTAAACCAAAATTGACACACAGAAAAAAAGAACTGTTTTTCAAAAGAGCAAATCAATAGGGATTTTAAATGTTAGTGAATAACTTGAATTTATAACGAATTATCTCTAATGTATTTTGCATTTTGCTAACATTTTCCATTTATTTTAAAAGGATGTACACTTTTTTATTAACTTCATTGTTTTTACCTAATTGCATCGTTTTCCTTCATTCAGATATTTTATGGAAACATGATAGTCTTGCTGTAGATAAAGGTATAAATTATGTGACATTTCAGTAAAAAAATGTGGCTGATTATATGTGAAAGGGCCATTTATTTAGCTTATCTCAATGTGATATATTAGAACCTTGACAAGGTGTAGACATCTTGTAGAGCGAAAGGGCGGAGCTATCGGTGATTTAGAGAAATGCCTTGTTTTTGGTTGAAAAAAATAATGTTGATCATTAAATAGGTTAATGTTTAATAATACGCATTAACAAAAATAATTGGTCGCCTGCCTGCGGCAGGCTTGACCAATTATTTTTGTTAATACGTATTATTAAACACTAACCTATACATAAATATGACCGCGCGAAAAGAATCAAAATTGGGGAACGTCGCCAGGCTTTCTTTACACACTCATGTAATGAATGTGCACAAAAATACCCATATTTATGTAATAAATAACAATTATAGATAAATCACCCTTTGAGCATATTTAAGAATCATCTTATTTCCAAGACATATATAAACATACAATTAAAATATTGTGTTATTATGACAGCATTTTCCTACAGCAGCACGCACCAGGTGTTTACTAATTTCATGAAATTCTTGAAAATATATTAAAAAGTAAAACATTGTGAAATTAACAACAAAAATAATTTACATATTGCAAACGGCACTAGCAGCCCATGTAAATAACCAAAAAGAAGTCAAAATATGCAAATATAGCCCTTGCTGTGTTACTAACGAAGTAGAAATATGTTGAAAAAATACCGCATAATCGGTCATTAGTTTCACATAGCAAGGGCATCATTACTTTAAAAATCTCAGTACATTTTTCTCAAATGTGATTTTCTCGAAATATTTTGGCTCATCTGGAGGCATGCAGCTTGCATTCACGAAATAATAAATATACAATAAATAATTAAATAATTATATTACGACATTACTGGCACTTATCTGAATGTCCGGTCAAGCTTCGGTAGTATTCGTCTTCTTTATGAGAATTATTGCTCATAAACGTCATTAATGTAAAAAATCATAAACTTTACATATATTGTAGTACACCTGAACATGTTGATGTTTTATCACGTCGTTGTATGATCATATAAATGTATAGCACATTCAAGTTAAAAGAACTAATGCAACAGGGGCAATTTTGTACATTCTGACTTCTGTGTTTTGCTTTTGTTTTTGGTGATTTAAATGGATTGTAAGTGCCGTATGCAACGTGTTATGTACGTGTAATGTACTTCCTTTGTTCATATCAGAATATTCTAATTTTAAGTACATGTTCCAAATCATTATGAAAATAAATATGGATATTCAAACATGCTGCTTTAATGTTATTATGTTTAATGATGTAATTTCATATAATAATTTACATATATGTATATTACTTTTATTTAAAATAGCTCATTTAGAATCACTCAATTTGCGTTCATTATTTACCCGATTTTCACCCAATTCCCGCTTCTTTCAACAATTTAAGATGCCATATACTCAGAGCCACCTGTACTCAAAACTGGCATTTTCAATGAACGAGTTTAACAGCAATTATTCAACAAGACAAACATATTTCGTTATATTTTATTTCCTTAATTTTATATAAAACAAGGCGGGATTTCAACAACTTCAAGCGTCGTACACACGCACCCATAACACAAAACAATTTCCTCTTAATTATATCCTCTTGTATTGAGTGTCCATTATATTAATTAAACAATAATATCCACGTGATGTGATATCTTCCTTATCCTATCTACATTAAAGTGGTTATTCTGATTAATACCACATGTAACAATGGATGAAGAGAACTACTTGAAAAACATCTGGACACTATAAACAAGTTTGCTTCTTTAAAAATATGCTTGCGAGAAGTCTTTTTGCATCTGTTGAAGATTTGCTTAATTGTTCAAATGGCGGGAAACGATCGAAGAACTTCTGATTGGTCCATTTGCATCTCCGAGTAATAGCAACATATCGGCTATTTCCGTCAGTTTCCGGATAAGCTAAAATAAGCAAAAAGATGTCCGACGAGGTATTCCGAAGTTAAAGGAGGAGTGTGCGCGCGACTCACTTGAGCGAATTGAATGAACATTGCGCGACTCATTTAAAGTGCGGACATACCTTAACAATGTTCAAAATGGCGCACAAGTGGTTCAGGTATACAGACTGTATATACAAACATAAGTACTAAAATACAAAAATGTACTTGATCACTCAAAAGCATAACTATTTGTTCAACAATGCAACTAAGTGCAACATATACTTGCTTATAGTAAATATATTTGTACTGTTTGTGGTGTAGAAGATTGATACATTTACTTTTGATTGACAATTCTTAAAACTTATTAACAGCTGAAAAATAAACTGAACAAAATCCCTTTACAAGTAATCTGTATATGATAGATAAAGCAATAAGGAATTTCATTCATAACATCAACAGCATCGGAGATGCTAAAAGGATAAAAAAGTACTTTAAGTTTGCATGACCTGTTATTACGCGACTATGCCATATTTCGGGGAAAACAGATTCTTCGGACGCTTACAGGCGCGTCCTTAGCTGCGTGACCCCCTAACGAAGAAAAATTATGTCTGAAAATAACGAAGATGTACTGTCAATGACTCTTTTGGTTTACAAGAAAATAAGTAAAGGATAACCAGCTCCAAATGTTGGCAAGATATTGTATCCTAAAAACAATACTTCTTGATGTCCTTAATTGTAGAGAACGAGTTTCAAATTTCACAATACTGTAACTACATGTATTATAAATGTTTACTGTTACTATTTTTCGAAATCGCTATTCAAAAAACAAAAATCAATTAATACAGTTTATTTAGATGTTAATATTTGGTTGCTGCTCGCCATTATGCAATAATGGCCCGAAGGACAATGTGGACTCGAGGACCATTAGCGTCTTTAATACCTATGTCCGAAATACGGTATATACACATCGCCGCTTATCTTGGTTGTCGTATCTACGAAACGGACAATCGTGAATGTAAAAGTATCTGTCATTCAGTTTAACCCTCCGATTAACTTAGGAAACATTACAACCCAAATTAAATTGAATAGATGAAATTATGTCAACTCATAATTTGCCATGAAATTCTCTTTCTTATGGTACTTAAATACGATTGAGCGAGTGTTTTGGCAGGCGGTCAAGGTTACCTTAAACAAGTTTATCATCGCAGTTGTTACTTAAAATAACGTCATCATTAAAAGTGGTGGAATATTTTTATAATTCTAGTGCAATAATTGTCCTTGAATCAACAATATGCTTTAAAGAACAAGATACACAATATATTTTAAGGAAATTTACGGAAACATAAATTAATACGAAGACCACAAATAAAAGTCAGCAAAGCTACAAGCGACACAGGTCTTATGTCATGCAATAAAAAACCAGACATTTACTAATAAGCATAAACTATTACAACGATTTGACAGAATGTATTTCAAATAACAACGCAAAATATCTACAAATTAGAATACACGCTTCATATATAAACAGTAAGCAACAGTAATGTTTGAAACGGTAACTTAGTCATGTAAGTTGGCGTTGTATAAAACAGCTTTATTCTTAAATCATTTAACATCTTTTATACAATTCTCTCTTTTTGATTATCATTTTAAAATATCACAATGATAAAGATAACAAGTTCGTTAAATATAAATTAACAGGATTA